TGTTCTTTCTTTCTTTGTTAATTTACAAGTAGCCACCATCTGTTACAGTCAGATAGTCTATTTCCTAAGAAATAGAGTTTTTTTTTAAGTACTAATAGAAAATAAATATCTTAAAAATGTACTAAAGTAATACTAGATCTATTCACTAACAGAGTTAATCCATGACTGAATGCCTGCTACTACCTACACCCTGGCTTTTATACAAATTCCTTATCAGTTGTTTTTGCCTCGGAAATTGGATCAAAACTTGTATTCTCTTATAAAAGAATTAATAATAGGAGTATGGGAAAAGACATTTCAAGAGGAACAAAATTGTCCTAATTTGGGAACTAATGGTAATAAACTGAGACTACTAAGTTGAAATAATTGTCTACTAATTTCAAATTGTTTGAAATTGAAATTTTTTAGAAATTATTTAGACAAAAAACATGTTTGTATGGATATTTATGGCACAATTTAAATTATAAAAGATAATTGTGAAAAAATACTTGTTGTCCAAAGTAAAACAAAATATTTTAGAAAGCTGAATGTGCACTTTAGCTCAATATAGATGATATTTTAGAAAACTGTAGAGTCGCTGTATGTGCACAACCTTACACAAAAATAAGTGAAGCCTATCAGTGCAATCAGTGCTATCAGTGCTATCAGCAGTACTCAATACTAGTTTAATTCTACATAAGTTGTTGGGATAACACCACCTAAGTGTGTATATTTTCACAAACGCCCTTCAATTATATTAATCTCATAGAACTTTTACAAAAATTCTGCTATTACAATCAGGTGACAGTTTATCTGGGTTGTGGAAAGAGAAAGAGCCTTCTTCTGGTGATGCTCTTTAGCAATATTTTTTATGTCAGGTCTAGTTTTTTAAAAAAACTGGTTTTACTGATTTTTTAATTGTTTAGCAACTATTTAAAGGAAATTTTGTATGTATAATAAAGTTGTACTCGTTTGATTTGCCATAGCAACCGAAATTTTTCTCTTTTCTCCACCAAATTCAGATAAATATGAAAAATATTCTTGTAATTTGCCTTCTGGTGATGTTTGTCCACTAATCATTTTCTGCCTCATTTCAAGATAAATTGGCAGAGGTATTGAATGAGGGAGATAATAACGGGTCGACAGAAAACGTCCACAAATGAGAAATTTCAAGACAAAAATTTGGATTGAGAAATGGTTAGGCAAAAGAAAACAGCAACTGATTTGTATTTAGGAGGGTCTCCTCTAAGGGTTAGGGGTAATGCAAAAGCTTAGGTACAGCTAAGGGCTGGGTTAGGGTTAGGATAAAAGCCCCAATTTGTGGACATTTTCTGTCGCATCCCTTTTTTCTTATAGTATAACCCTTTAAGGATTATCCTACTAAAAATCAGTGCTTACAATGTCAAGAACATGATTCTTATTAATGTTTCAATTACCATTATTCTTGTGCTTGATTCTATGACATCTATTGGTAAAAATGAAAAAAAAAGACACAAATGTTTAAATGTTTGTATTTTAGAAATATCTGTTTAAATGTTTTTTTAATGTTTCAACAAAACTGGTAGTGTTTTTAAAAAAATACACTTAAATAAATAAATAGTACAATGCTATTGCTCATTCATCAGAGAGGCTTCCTATGTATATACTGATGCTAAATATAAGGGACCTAGACAAAAAAGCACTTCGATCTGTTTACCCTGATGCAAATATTAGAGGATGCTGTTTTCATTGGTCTCAATCAGTCTATAGACAAATACAAGAACTAGGTTATAGTTCTCTTTATAAGAAGAAAGAAGAGGAGTATCTGATAATGAAGAAACTACTGGCATTACCATTCTTAAAAACTGATGTCATCCCTGCTACCTTTAACATTCTCAGAAACACAGCATCTGAGAAAAAATTCCTACTAGTGTAGATAAATTTGCTGTGTCAGTAACATTGTCAACATTTTTAAACAAGACACCAAAAAATGCTGTTAATAGAATGATAAAAGATTAAGTCATAAATATTAACTATTGTCTTCATAGCTTTGAATTCCCCATTATTGTCAATGCATGTTTGCCACCTGGAGGGAAGCATGTCAATTCCTTTGGCAAAGTATAAGGGCAGTTTGGAAAATGTCCTTACTGCATTTTGCAATTCCTCATCATTGTTATATATTTTACCCCAAAGATGGTCCCTTAATTTTCAGAAAAGTTCATAGTCAGATGACGCCAGGTCTGGGCTGTAGGCTGGATGAGGCAAGACTACCCATCCAGTTGTTCTAAGATATTAACTAGTTTGTAAACTTGTAAACGAACTTAGTAAAGAAAATTTCCCATGTGATGAACTGTGTACAGCTGCTCAAAATCTTCCAGCTTTGACAATATTTTCTATATCATATTGAA